AAAACTGCCGTTTTAGAAAAATGTTGCAAATCGTTTTTATGAAAATACAAAACATTTATTGTGAATTTTTGAAAAATACGAAAAAATAACCGATGCACTCCTAGGTATGAGTAGTTGAAAGAGTTCCAGTTAGAAGGTGCATGTATGAAAACTCCATCACAACTAGGGGAAAACCAGATCTTCAAAATACTGATACGCTAGAAAACTAAGTACATGAAGCCTATCAGAAACTGTTTTTATACCGGTTTACGAGAGAAACGTCCAAAGTTGCAAATCGTTTTCTCGATGAAACTGGGTGGACTTTATGTAGTTGACGACACTGATTTCGAATATGAACATCAACGCTGACCTTAGGCTTTTGTTGACCAGTTTACCGAAAACTGGATCTCCAGATAACGAGGAACCAAATCCAAACTTTTTTCTGCATTGGCCGTTTTGAAGAGGACACAAAACTGTCTGTTTCATAAGTTTGCCTTTGTCAACAGACTATTGAACGGTACTATGATTTTTGCAAACTATCCTACTGAAACATTTTCCCATCAAAATCAGCGTAGCCACTGTTTTTGGAAATTTTCGTACGCTGTTTATTCTTGCTTTGAAAAACTCACAGTTATGGAACATAGACAGTTTTGTGCCCTCTATACTACAGCCAATTCAGATAAACTTTCTGGATTTGGTTCCTCGTTGTCTGGAAATTCAGTTCTCAGTAAATCGGTGAACAAAAGCCTAAGTTTAGCGTTGATGTTCATATTTTGAATCAGTTTCGTCGATTCCATATAATCCACCTAGTTTCATCAAGAAAACGATTTGCAACTTGGAGCCTTTCCCTCGATAGAAAATAGAAGAAACGTTTCTAGACAAAATAAGGCATCTCTGCGCTCTCCAAAACATTTTTTATCAAAATATTTCCATTTTATGAAAGATCTCAAAGGTATTTTTAGTTGTTTTGTCTTAGGCGTTTCGTAAATTGAGTGAAGTCTGATAAAAATATGCCCTGGAAAGCTTGAGTAGTGAGAGTGAGCCATTGAATTTTTCCTTCACGAGTTCTAGTTAAATTTAACGTACAACATATTTGAATACGATTCGAATAGAATGAAATTAAGAAATAAAAATCAAAGAACATGATCAAGGTAATCAAACGTTTAATTAGCTAGAGTTTCATAGCTAAATGAAAACAAAAATTATATCATCTGTTAATTGTTTCCCTGCTTTAAGTTTGGAACTTTCTTCGGTGATATACTCAGTGTAATATACCACAGAGTCTGTGCCCATTTATTTCACTTTGTGCACACCATTTTGAAAGTCTAATTAAGTAAAATCTCCATAAGTAGGATCACGGAATATCACGTTAAACATGATGCGAAATATCGCAATTATGGGAAAATGCTCTTTTTCTGACATTTTTAGCTTCTTTCGTTTAGGAAAACCAGTATAGGTTCATTTTCATACGGAAGTGAAATTGTATTAATAAAACTATGTCAACTGTAGGATGTGAAAATGGACTATCTCGTAGAATAGTCGGTATTCAATAATTCTCTTGACAACTCGTTTTTTGCTAAATTTAACGCATATAGTATCTTGGTGAAATAATAACAAAAATCAAATCTGAATAGTGTATTGAAATCACCTTGCCATGAACTATCTAGTAGTATATATTTCAATTCGACTGCAAAACGGTCTAAGATTTAGGCCATCCAGAGAAGTTTTAGCAGGTTTAACCTTGTATTTCTTGATAACTCCAATCTCCATATATTTTCGACATGTCTACCAAAAGTCTCCTGAAGTTGAGGATCGAAATTACTTCAAAAATCGTCAACATTCAATGTATTTTCCATATTTTCGAAATAATTTGGCCAGCAAAACATTCCAACTTTGTCTTTATATCGAAGATAATCACTCTGAATACGTTTTAATGATTCGCCAATGCTTACATCATGCTGTTGATATAACCGTCATACTGATCATCTTCTTCATCATTATTATTAGCAGGTTCATCTGAGAATGATCTTATTTCAGATAATTCAATATTTTGGATTCAACACTAACTATTGTATGATTTGAAGTCGAAATGATGTTTGTATGCTGACTTATGAATTATTTTTTATCAGAATACTTGCTTACTAGATGTACACCTGGAAAAGTATTTTCACAATTACTTACTTGCCACATACTTTACATGTCCTTCTCTCGGTTTATACTTGATTTTATTCTAACTACGCTGCGAAATAAAAAAAAGTGGTTGCAATTGACAGGTGCATGCAATAGAAGAATTAAGTATTTGCAAGGAAGGCAATTGCCTACTTCTAGAAAATTTACTCGTGAAAAAAGGTGAACGGTGAAAGTTTTGGGCTTGATAACTTATGATATGACTAGACTGTGCGATCTTCCTTTTCGATAGAGCGACATCTGTTGGTGGAAATCAGCAAAGTAATATAAAGTTTTCACTTTTTGCTGGAATATTTACAGATCATTTTTGCAGTCAAAGAGTTGTACACCAGCTCTTGAATATCCAAACACATGAAACATATTACTCACCTAGCAACGTTTATTGAAAATGGTATAATGTCGTTGTGTTTCACTGAAAATAACGGCAACATTAAGATAAACACTGAAAACATTGTTTCTCTTGCTTTCCTGGTAACGTGAGCTGTAAAAAAGAAGAGCCAGAATGAGCCAAAGACACACATTACAAGGTTTGTATAGGAAAGTCTTGATTTCCACGAAAGATATGTAGAGTACCCTTGCATTATCCTACACTTCAGGATAATGGTAGGGCGAGACAGTCCTATATTCTGATGTATTAAATATTTTACAAAGCTTTGACAGGGCCAAGTAAGGACCTAATAAAACTATTTTTTTTTCTAAAAATGTTCAGCCGAAAATAAAACTCTTCTCCAGGACCGTGAAAAAATGTTTACGAGGTACGCTAGGATACAAGGGGCTAGAATAGCAGAGTAGGACCAGGACTAAGGAAACCGTTACCCTGAATATCTCTAAGATTAAAATTGATCTTCTCAAAGAAAAGTCTGTCTTACAAGTTGTTTCATCCGTAATATAATTCAATCTGGTTTATATGAATTAGAATGAATGAACGGGTGGCGAATTAACCCAGTATGCTATGACATGAAAGTTAAAGAAGAACATTGTTATTTTTGAGCGTTTTCATATCATTTTGCGTTTATGACAAGGACACAATAGTTACCTTGTGATTGTTTTTAGTGTTTGAACAATATCAAAAATCTCGCTTAACATTTGTACAAGCCGTCGCTGATTTAGCGACTCGTCCACAAAATATTGAAACATTACAAAATGCAGGTGTTATGGCTCTCTTACGTCCATTACTATTGGATGTTGTACCATCTGTCCAACAAACTGCTGCTCTGGCACTGGGGCGTTTAGCAAATTTCAGCGATCATTTAGCTGAAAGTGTAGTAAGAGGTGATATTCTACCACAATTAGTATATTCATTAGCTGAGCAAAATGTAATAATAAATTTCACAACAACAACAGCTCACTTATTTGTTTTTCCATTTATGTACCTATTATAGCGCTTCTATAAGAAAGCCGCTGCATTTGTTTTACGTGCTGTTGCCAAACATTCACCACAATTAGCTCAATCGGTAATTGATTGTGGAGCACTCGATGCACTTGTTGTGTGTCTAGAAGAGTTTGATCCATCCGTGAAAGAAGCAGCCACATGGGCTTTAGGATACATTGCAAGACACAATGCAGGTGTGTACTTTATAATTGTTACAGGAGATATCATTTAATCCGCTCATTTATTTGGGGGTTTCCAGAATTATCTCAACATGTTGTTGATGCTGGTGGCGTTCCCTTGCTGGTGTTATGTCTACAGGAACCAGAAATTGCTTTAAAACGTGTTGCTGCGTCAGCGCTCAGTGATATAGCCAAACACTCACCAGAATTAGCTCAAACTGTGGTAGATGCTGGTGCTATCGCTCATTTAGCACAAATGATATTGAATCCTGATGCACAATTGAAAGTAAGCGTCAAATAAAACAAACTTATTCCATTCGTCCCTATTTTGTCTTATCTTTCAGCGCCAAGTATTTTCTGCGTTGAGTCAAATCGCTAAACATAGTGTTGATTTAGCTGAAATGGTTGTTGAAGCAGAAATATTTCCGGCCGCCTTTGCCTGTTTGAATGACCCTGATGAATATGTGAAGAAGAATTGTGCAACACTCATTCGAGAAATTGTTAAACATACACCAGAGGTTAGATATTTTTTGATATCCCGTGACTAAGCAAAGTATATTTTCAAAATTTCTCCTATTTTGTTCTGAAATAGCTGGCTCAAATGATTGTAAATGCAGGTGGTGTCGCAGCTATTGTTGATTATGTCGGTTCAACACGTGGAAATGTTCGTTTACCAGGAATCATGATGTTGGGATATACAGCGGCACATACCGAAAGTTTGGCTATGGCTGTGATTGTTTCAAAAGTATATAGTACACTAGCAAATTAGATCTGATAAGGATTTGTGAACTGAACACTATTTAGGGTATTAATCAATTATCAATTGCATTGAATGAAGAAACGGAAGACCATATTTTGGCTGCCACAGCTTGGGCATTAGGTAAAACATCGTTCTCTCCATAAAGGTGTTACTAAATTCCAATTGATTTTAAGGTCAAATTGGACGACATACACCTGAACATGCAAAAGCCGTCGCTGTTGCTAACGTCTTACCAAAATTATTACAGTTGTATATGAAGACAAACATGTCAGAAGATTTGCAGACGAAAGTATGATGTATGATATTCTTTTTCTGCATTGATCTATTAGAAGATTTATACTTTTTTTCAGGCAAAAAAATCGTTAAAAAATATTTTGCAAAAATGTGTTTATCTGCCCGTATTAGAACCATTGCTTCATGAAGCATCACCGAACATTTTAAAACATGTTGTGGCACAATTTTCGAAAGTATTACCACATGATCCAAAAGCAAGAAGATTATTTGTTACGAGCGGAGGATTAAAAAAAGTCAGTGAAAATTATTTTATCTCCTCAGAATTAATGTATTTACGCAAAAAAACGTTTAGATTCAAGAGATAAAAGCCGAAGAAGGCTCGCCATTAGCCGAATCTATTAATACAATAAATAGTTGTTTTCCAGAAGAAGTTGTCAAGTACGTATAAAATCACTGTAACCATTCATGTGAATTAATGTTCGCTTTTAAAAAAACCTGGTACAAAACTACAAACCATTTGTTTTCATTTCTAGATATTATTCACCTGGTTATGCCGATGAACTTCTTGACAGAGTTGAGCAACATAATTACAAAGCATAAGATATATCATCGTGCGTATTATACCTTTCTCAAATCAGAAAAGGGATTTACGTTGTAATGAGGGTGAAGTGGGGTGAAAACTACCACGTTAAACTTTTATTAATCCTATAATTTTATGTTTTTTCCATAGGTCTATTTTTACGTCTACCTGTTTTAGATAGAGACAACTTTTCTGTAATATTTTTTTCTTTTTTACAAAAGAATCTGTCTTTAACATTCTACGATTTTGCAGTAAATTAAGTGAAATATCAGGATTCTCCTCCTGCGAATGTAAAACCTGTTTTTCAATGTCTGGAAAATCGTAATGACTAGTTGAAACGCTTACTCCATAATATGATTAATACACTTACAAGCATTTGTAAGTATCATCAAATTCTACTTGGTAATTTTAAGGTAAAATCAAAAACAATCATTCAAATTGTCTCATGTGTAACTCAAGGAACTAAAGGACGGGGGATTATAAGGGTCAAAATTTTCCATTAATATTTTTGAAATGCCCGTAATTCCCAATTTTCTCGACTAGAACTCAAATTTTGGGCAATAAAAATATCATATTCGGAATCAGGATCAAAAACTGAGTCGACTAATGTGTATTTCTATCCTATCCGGCTACTTTCATATTTTTAGAATTTTCACATTGAAAACTTACCGAGATTTTCACCCAAAACTGAAAATGAACTAAAAATTTCGAAGTATACATCAGTCGACTCAGTTTTTGATTTCGATTCCGAATATCATATTTTTATTGCTCAAAAGTTGGATTCTGATCGAGAAAATTGAGAATTACGGACAGAATTCCGACTTTTTCGCCTGTGATTTAGAAAAATGAGTTTTTCCAAAAATGGCTAAACTTTGAAAAACACATTTTACATCATTGGATAGAGCATTGAAAACTGCATACATCTACATTATTTTGGTAATGTTATCCTGTGGGTGAAAAACGTTAAATGACGAGACGAAATAACAGGTTTTTCACGAATTTTCGGCCTCAAGTGGCTTTTTGGCTTGAAAACACTACTTTGAAGCGGATTTCTGTTTCACATGTGGAAACTGTGGTATTTTTGAGTATATCTAGGTGGCTTTGGAGGTTTTCAAACCAAATCCAAGGGAAAAAATTTCCATGTCATTAATTTCAAAATTCTTACATCCAGCAAACGTGTTAACCGCGTGACTCAGTGTGTCGATGTATCGTACGGGAAAACCAATGTAACTCTCACAGTGGGCATATTTGGCTAGAGCAAGCGGACATGTGGATTTAAACGACTGAGATGAGTGTAAAATTAATGAAAAAAATGTTTTAATAGATTATCGAGGACCCTCTCTATCCATCTGTGAAGTCAAAATCCATTTTTGAAAACATTTATTTTCAGAGGTTTTCCAGAAAACCCGGTTTTCGGCCAAAAGTTTTCTGTTTTTGAGGGAAAAAATTTCATAGCGTGCAGCAATTACTAGAGAGCAGAGAAGACAGTTTTTCTCGTTCAAAGACTTAAATCACCCAATAAGGAATGCAAAAATCGTGTCAAATCCGCTAGAAAGTCATGTAACTCAAATACAAAAAATTTGAAGTTTAATTTCGAAGGGACGTCAGCCACTGACGTTAGACGTCAACGTTTCTCCTCCTCACCACGCAGAGGTCTCCCTTCTTGGAGAAGGCAAAATTCATCAAAGCAAGCGCATGCAAATCAATAGTACTAAAAGAACTAAAAGAAACTAAACGGCAGAAAAACACACACACATCGGCACTAAAAGGAAATAAAATAGATCACTGTAAACATCACTGA